TCCTTTCTTAGGCACTATTTGCTCCCGTGTCCGAGTTGTCGGCAACGGTAACAAGGGACTTACCTGGGCCTCGGCATTTGTAGTTCGAGACTTGGGCCCCTGGTTAGCCTGTTTCTGTGGCATATCTGCAATGGCATCTGCTAAAATGTGAGCCTATATCTTGCCCTGTAACTTTGCCTTTCTCTCCTTATCCTGTTTAAGAGTCAAGTCCTGATCATTGAACACCTGAGTAGCAACCTCCAAAAGTCTCCGTACAGGTGTTTGAGGACCCAAGGCCAATTTAGTCAATTTTCGGCATATGTCTGGGGCAGACTGACTAATGAAGTGCATGTTTAGAATAGTCATCCCTTCAGGAGAAGTAGGGTCTAGATTAGTGTATTTTTGAATAGTTTCAGTTAATCTCCCTTGGAAAAGGACAATGTTTTCATCTGTTTCCTGAGTTATTTCCTGGAGTTTGTCAAAATCGACTGGCTTTGTAAATCCCTTCTTCATTCCCTCTATTAAACAAGTAATCACGTGATTTCATTGTCCTCGATCTTCTTCATCCCTATAATACCATTTGGGGTTTGTGTGTGGTACCTGCTGGACATCTATGTCTGTCTCTAGTATGTAAGTCATCTGCAAATTCACATTCTCTCGCCCAAATGCGACATTTTCCATCTATAGTGCAGCAACGAGTAAGAATAATATAAATATCCTGCCAGGTTAAATCAAACATCATGGTGAGCTGTCGACAGCCATCAATAAATTGGGAAGGATGTTTTGAATATCTACCCAGTTGTATCTTTATTTGAGCCATATCAGACATTGAAAATGGCTCATGGACTCGAATGGTCCCCATTTCCCCATGTGCTGCCTCGCGGAGAGGGAAATGTCCAGGATTATAAGAAGTCCCACTCCTCATATGACCTGCAGGACTTATGGGGATTGAGGACTCAATTTTAGGTTCCTTCTTGTAGGGAGGAGGTATTCTGGTCTTTGAGTCCTCGGGAGAGGTTAATTCAGCAGGAGCTGCAGGGGCCTTAGGAATAGGTCTAACAAGGCAGTCATCATCTAATATATCGGGTATAGGTTTTTCTACTTTAGTTGGGGAAGCTAGACACATGCGACAAACCACTCTGAGTTCAGGCTCTTGATTTAGAGCCATGAATGCCTGAATATAAGGGATTTCAGACCATTTTTACAGGCAGCGGCAAAGTAAGTCTAGTTGAAAAATAGTATTAAAATTTAGGATGCCATTCATGGGCCATTTTTCCTCATTCAGAGTATATTGAGGCCAAACAGTATTACAGTAAAAAATAACTCTATTTTTCTTTAGGTCTTGTAGACCAAATTTTATCTAGTGATTTAAAAGGCAACCCAAAGGTGAGTCCTTAGGAATGGAAGTAGAAGCTCCCATGGTCCTAGGAAACAAAAAGACAAAAGAAGAGAGATGAAAGAAAAGGGTCTATTACCTTGAAATTCCCACTTGAACCTAGGGCAGTATCCAACCCCTTGTTCTGCCTGTGGGGTTCCTAGAGCAAGGGGTGATGGGGGCGTCCCCCCTCATTGCATCCCTTGTATATCTTCCCTATTATGCCTGGCAATAATAGGTGCCTGGTGAATGGTCCCAGACATAGAAGAAGAATAGAGAAAAACAGTGAAGAATTTTCTGCCAGTCTGGGGGACATTCTACTCAATTGCATCCTGGAGCTGTTCTCCCAAGAAAAGATTCCCATACTCAACCAAAAGTTAGAGTTTGGTACTCTCCTTGAATGGGAGTCCCAATTGGGACTTTCGTGCAGTTCAGAGTGTGATCAGGAGCCACAGGGAGGGATCCCAATCCAGCCTTAGGAAAAGAAACCTGCCAGGGGAGTCTTGGAGATTGGCGACCATCCTAATGACTTAAGCGGTCGACCTGCACCCATGTAGAATTTATATATTACAGATAGGATTAGGAAGGAATGGATTAATTCATTCTTCATCACCCACAGCCTTAAGGTACTGATTCTCTTTGGGCTGAATGGCATCGTTTGCCCCATAGTGTAGCCATGGGCAGCAAAGTTGAATTCATACAGTTGTCCAAGAAAGTTCCCAATGAATAAGTGAATTTAGACCCATCCTTGAAAAAGAGGAAGGCACAAGGAAGAAAAGTGTGCTTACCAGAACTTAAGCTCACAAGGTGGTGAAGGAAGATCCCTGTACAGGCGACCAAAAGAAATGATGTGGGCTTGGCGAGCCAAGGAGTCAAAAGAAAGATTTCTTGGACTCTCAAGGTCTGGTGGTAGTGCTCCTTTATTCAGAGAATAGCATGCGGACAGGACCTGTGGGCAGTGAAGAGCTGCAAGCATGGTAACAGAACCCATGGGCTGTGAAAAGCTACAATGTGTTGAGGGTAGGGCTAAATTTACAAGGCATGGGTACATGAGTTATTTTTTACTAGACAAAGGAAAGATGATGTAAAAAGTTCTTAAGATGGTATCAGTGCAGGTGGGGTTGATATCGAACCTGAAGTGTGTTCGCTCACCCATTGCACAGTAAGCCAATCTCTGACACTGGGTGTAGTGGAAGAAAATAGGAATTTTATTATCGAACCTGAAGTGTGTTCGCTCACCCATTGCACAGCAAGCCAATCTCTGACACTGGGTGTAGTGGAAGAAAATAGGAATTTTATTATTGCACAGCACTGAGCAAGCAGAGAGGGGAGCTAATGCTGAAATCCCAAACTCCCCCAAAAGCTAAAAGTAAGGGGTTTTATTTGGGGTTTTAGGTAAGGGAGGGGGACCATATGGCCTTGGTGATTGGAGCTTTCCCACCAGCCTGTCTTTGGCCTTGAGACTACTTGCAGAGAGGAGGGAGCCTGTGACCTCGCTGGTCAGCAGCTTTCCCACCAGCCCGTAGCTCTTTGTGGGGAGGAGATAATGAATCCAGGTGCTTATCCTTGGCGGTGTCTGTCTCCATGGAGGATGGTGGATTCTGGAGCCAGGAAGCCAGGGAGTAAGCAGGGAATGAGTGCTTTGGTTTTAACCGCATATATGCTGGGTTTAATGTGGGGAAACCCATATCAGGATTTCGTTATTGTACAGTGTATAACCTTAGATATGAATCAGGTCAGGATGTCCTGTACTTCTGGAGGACGATATAGACGGGCATGTAGGCCAGAACACCTTGGGCTTCCCTCCCTGGGGCAGCCTTGATCCACATCAAGTAGCACCTGCCTGTGGTTTCATATATTCACTTTCATCTTCTTTTTGAAAATCAGAAGATGATTTGCCCACCTCCTGTTGCTCTTACTTTTTCCACAAATCCTCAAGTATCCTTGGTTTAGAATTTTCTCAAAATAGAGAAATTGCTTCAAAAACTAGAAATGATAGAATTTAGTAGTAAATGATGCAGCTCCCCTGTAATTTTTACACTTATCTCGATCTCTCTCCCTTACCTATTTTTTTTCCATTTTTCTTCTGATGCATGTCTTCCTTGGCAGACAAAGCAGAAGCTATGTTATGCGTTAGTCAATGGGCTGACTGTCCCCAGTATCACTTAAGTTAGCATCCTGCTCCCATCACGTGGGTCTAGGCCCCTAAGGTGGGAGTTTGCTACAAGGTACTTCAGTTTTTATCTTTAAAGAAGCACCTGAGTGTTGTCCCTTTCAAAGCTGAGTTTTTATACGGGTTGCTTTTATGCAAAATATTTAGACATTCTTTAGGGAATGCCTTCAAAGCCGGCATAAGAACCTTAGCATTGTTCATGCACAGTCAGACCTCTCACTTTTACAGGTTAGACTACAGTCGACTTGACTTCCAGTCTTTCCTAAACCCTCCAAATGGTTTATTTTATGTTTCGAGCTATTCGGCGTGGTTTACTGTGCCGTTCGTGCTACAACAGCCTGCAGTTGCTGCCTTCTTCTGAAACGGCAACGCGCCCGTCCTGCTCAGGGTCGCCCTCTGCTGGCGGGAACTCTCGTCGTCGCGACCCGCGGCCGGCAGCCTCAAGCATCCTCGCGGGCCGGCTCCGAGCGCCGGGCGCGGTGGCGCGCGCCTGTAGTCCCAGCTACTCGGGAGGCTGAGGCTGGAGGATCGCTTGAGCCCAGGAGTTCTGGGCTGCCGTGCGCTATGCCGATCGGGTGTCCGCACTAAGTTCGGCATCAATATGGTGACCTCCCGGGAGCGGGGGACCACCAGGTTGCCTAAGGAGGGGTGAACCGGCCCAGGTCGGAAACGGAGCAGGTCAAAACTCCCGTGCTGATCAGTAGTGGGATCGCGCCTGTGAATAGCCACTGCACTCCAGCCTGGGCAACATAGCGAGACCCTGTCTCTTTTGCGTCCTCGTCTCAAAGCAGCCTGCCACCTGCGTCCTGCCCCAACACGACAGACAGGGCGGGCTTTCCACTTCTGCGCGACCCTTTCCCGCGACGCCCCAGTCCCCCGGGGCGGGCAGTCTTGTCTTACTTCATCTCACTTCACCCTTATCTACGAAACACCCGAATGCTCAGGTTGCCGAGCGTCTATGGAGCCCCTACTGTATACGGGGCGCTGCGCTTAGCCGAGGGACACCAGGGCGATGTGGGACGAGCCCCCACGTGCGCCGGAGGTTCTCGGGGACGGCCCGTCCGGACGGGAACTCCTTTGGGGGCTGGTGCGCCTCGATGGCCGAGGGTACCGCAAGGCCAAGGAAACCGCTCCGCTCGGTGCATCTCAAAACCCTACACGTCGAGTCCTGAATGGGAAGGGCGGGTCGCCGGCGTCCCCGGTCCCCGCCGCCGGTCGGGGACAGCCCCTAGGACGTGCTCGGGAACCACCACCAGCAGGGGGCACCACGGAGGCGGCTAAGGCCGGAGCACCCGGGGGCGAGGTCGTCGGAGTAGTCCGCCAGCTTTCCAGGAAGGCATGCAGTTTCACTTTGGGTCTATTTCGAATTGTTCTGGTACCACGAAAAGCCAGTCGACGGCGGCTCGACAGCGGGACTCCACAGCAAAGCGACGCAAACGCGTTCGCCTCGAGGAATCTTGGGTCCTCTGGGCGGCCGTAGAGCGCCGCCAAGTGCGCCTGCGCGCCCGAGCGGCGGCGTTGAGTCAGGCCGGCGCTGGGGACGACTGCGGCGGCCGCCCTCGCAGCGCCATGAAGACCCGCTTCAGCACCGTGGACCTCCGCGCCGTGCTCGCGGAGCTGAACGCCAGGTGCTGCACGGCGGGGGCGGGCCGGCGGTGGGAGCGCGGCCCGCGTCCCCGACCCCCGGCGCCGTCGCTGTGGACCCGGCGCGGCCCGGGCGGGCGAGCGCGTGATGTCCGGCCCTGGCCCCCGGCGCGCCGGCCCCGGGCTGCGGGCTCTCGCCGCGTCGGCCTGCGTCGCGGGGCTGGCGGCAGACGCTTAGTAAGGCGCGAGCCTCCGGGCGGGCGCCGGGACGGCCGAGGGGTCATTGCTCCGAGGTCTCCGGACGCGAGGCCTGGCGTCTGGGACCCTCCTCGCCCCGGGGAGACGGGGCGTCGCCGTTGTAGCTGCAGGTGGCACGTCTGGCCTGAGCGCGGGGTTCTGTGCTTCCTGTCGCTCAGCTGCGTGAGCTTTGTCCTGTTTCCCAGCGCCTCCTTCACCGTTTTTTCTTTTGTAATAAATTAAGTGGATTCGATTTTACTTTATGTCCTAAAAAATATTGGGTCATTTCAGAGAAGCACGGCATTGTGCGGGGTTCCTCGGGCTGCTGTGCCGCTTTGTCCTTACATAGTGCAGTAGGGTTGGTGGCCCTCAGACTCTGCTCCCGGTTGCCTCGGTCCTCGGGGTCGGAGGTCCCGGCTCGCAGCCTCTGCTGCCGCCGCCTCCGCCGCCGCGTCGCGGGAAGTTTTCTGTTTCGAGTGATAAAGTGTGACTTGTTACTTGTTTCCTGTCTCTTTGCAGCTTGCTAGGAATGAGAGTAAACAATGTTTATGATGTGGATAACAAGACGTATCTTATTCGTCTTCAGAAGTAAGAGCATTTTATAGACTTGTTTTATCTTTGATCATTAAACGTGAGAGTATTGATTTTTTTTTTTTTTTTTTTTTACTTTTATTCTGTTTCACCGAGTTAGCGTTGGCAAATGCCCTAAAGAAAAATTTGACTCTTTTCTTCTACAGACCAGATTTTAAAGCAACGCTATTACTGGAATCTGGCATACGAATTCACACAACAGAGTTTGAGTGGCCTAAGAATATGATGCCGTCTAGTTTTGCCATGAAGGTAAATTTTAAGTTATACTTGAACCTGGATTTTAAGGCCCTGAGATTGGTCACGAGCAATTGAAGTTTTAAGCTGTTTGGTTTTCCTTATTGTTATGACTAAAGTAAACATGAAATAGAGATAGAGTAGTTGGTAGACACTGGGATAAATTGAGTGAATGTTTATTGTCTCCTCTCTATACCCCATTGTGCTCCACATCTTTCTGTTCCCATAGTCCTCATTCTAGTTCAAGCTTTTCTAACAGTCTTCCTTGCAGTCCCTTAACTCCACCCCACTTCTTGCTGTCAGAAAAGTTCTGTATTAGGTCAACCCTAATTTTTCTAAAGCATCATTTTCATTAGTTATCTCACCTTGTATGATTCCCTAATTTGTGAATCTATATCCTAGCATTCTTGGCTTTCTATGATCTGCCCTCCCCCTCCTCTTTTCCTAGTCTTATCTTCCACAGCTCACTCTTGAGCTGCCAATCTGTATTTTGTGACAATCTTCAGTGACGTTAGTATATTACCAGTCATTATATCTTTCTGCTTTTCATTTCTCTCTTTGTTTTTTACTATTAAAATTGAGATCGTGTGTTTGTTGACTTGTTACCCCTTCGCTTATTGACATTACAGATATACTGAAAGTTCATGTGGTACAGAGGAAAGACGTTAGAGTCATATAGATATACCTAACTTTGAATTAATGGTTTTGCCGCTAAATAATTTTATAACCCAGAAAACTTTCTTAACCTCTTGGAACTTAGTTTCTTTAAATGTAAAGTGTGGATAATGCCTCCTTTGTGGGGTTATTGGTGAGGATTGATTGAAGTAGCATGTAAAGCACCTAACACAATGCCTGACACGTATTAGGGCTCCATATGTATTAATTTCCTTCTTCCTCTCCTCCTCACTTTCCTTCAGAAATGTATTTGTTTTGGCATTGTGTTATTTCATTAGAGGCTTTACAGAGAAGAGCCTTATCCCCAGCAACTTAGAGTCTGTTTTGGATTACAAGTTAGGTAAGTGTTTCCCAAATCACGAGGCCCGTCATAAAATAATCAAATTCTTAAGAATTTAATTTACTTAATAGTAACCCAAAATGGTTCTTTTGGGGATTGTCCTGAATAATAATTACCCTTTTTGTTTGTATAGCGTTTTTCAAAGTAGATGAATAATTTATATTTCATTTGTTTAACAGCTCAGTGGATATGAAGAACAAATATTATAATTTTAGTTTTAAAGATGATGTAACAGATAATAAGACGTATGATACTGGAATTGGGTAAATATCCCCAAATCAGGCTACTCCAATAGGAGGTCAAACACTCTAAAAAAATCTTGAGTTTTATGAGTTAGGTGTACGTGTCAATCTAAATGTGTAGAAAGAGTCCCTCCGATGGAGCCAAAAGTGTTAATTTACTTTTTATTTGCAGCATTATTTACTTTATAAATAACTTAGAGAGCTGTTGTATGGCACAGCCAGGGTCATTTTCAGTGTGTGATAAATCACAGTGATTGTTCCCAGTTCTCACTTTTGGGGACGCCAGTATAGATTTGTGGCACCGACAGAAAGTTGTTTCACCAAGTTACTCACAGGGAAATGAATGAAAAACAAGCTCTACATATGTACTATATGCCCATCTATACTCATAATAGATAATCTTTCCTTTTTCACCGTTCCATGCTACAGACTTCTGTTCCTTTCAAGAATACCTTTTATCTTCTTTTTTTTTAAGGTATACTTTTTGGTGAGGAAGATTGGCCCTGAGCTAACACTGTTGCTAATCCTCCTCTTTTTTTTGTTTTTTTCTCCCCAAAGCCCCAGCACATAGTTGTGTATCCTAGTTGTAAGTCATTCTAGTTCTTTGATGTGGGATGCCGCCACAGCATGGCTTAATGAGCAGTGTGTAGGTCTGTGCCCAGGATCCAAACCAGCGAACCCCAAGCTGCAAAAGCAGAGCATGTGAATTTTAACCACTTGGCCATGAGGCTGGCCCCATCTTCATTTTAACTTTATTTTTCTTGAGTAAAAGTGTTACTGGGGGACTCTGGATTGTCGTTTTTCCCTGGGGATTTAAAGATAGCACTATATGTAAGTCAGTGTTTACATCAAAATCAATACAGGCCACTCTTAAGTCAGAACTGTTGAATTTTAGGAGAGGGTGATTGTTTATTTTATGAAGGTTGAAAAGTGTTCTTATATCTGCCTGCCCAAATAAGTACATAAAATGAGTATTTTAGTAAATTTGAACTGTAAGGTCTAGAGAAGAACTTGTCTTAGTTATGAAAGATTTGGCGTTAATTCTGAGAATGACTGTATATTTCTTGTTTGTTTGTTTTAAGGTGGTTTTAGATTAATTTCTCTGTAAAATTTGTCTTGAATTTGAGTCTTGAAGAAAAAAACATTCTTTCTTTCTGGTCTTGACTAAGGGTCTTTCAAATTCAAAATTAGAAACAATTATAAGATGGTTTTTAGGGGCTACAGAGTATTCTTGTTTCTGCTCCGTGTCATACTTAAATATTTGTACTAAAGCTTGGTATGTGTAATCTAGAACAATAGGTATTTACCAAATAATTTGTATTGGGGTTTAGCATGCTAATTTTAATTGCTAATAAGAACAAGAACGTTATGACTAAGGATAGGAGAAACGGGATTTAATAAAGAATAAGAGTTATTATATTTGGTTATGAGCTGGGTTGATCAAAAGCTTGGGGACAGTACCATAAAAATTCTGTGTTTGGGTTATATTAATAAAATTTGTGGGGATAGAGGGTAATTGGATGTAATTTAGAAGACTAATTTGTAGAATCCCAATAAGTTCATGGTTCATAATTTGAATTTTAAGTGGAAGATTAGGGAAACCACTAATTAATTTTGAACAGAAGCACTTGAAAGGAAATTTGGGATATTTAAAAGATGGGAGTAGACAGAGACTTAAAACAAAGTTATGGTTTTGAGTGAGGTCACGAGGGCAGGAACGAGGGTTTTAGCAGTGGTATAAAAGCAACAAGATAAATTAAGTTCTAGGTCTGTCATTGTCTACTTAAAAATTGAATATAAAATATTGTGTCAGAGTTAGCAGTAAAAGTTGTCTGAAGTAAAATGTTTTTCCTCTAATTATCACCTGCAAGCTTTCATTTTATGACTATGCTGTTTTATTTACTACGTTTAAAATGTTATTCTTGGTAGTAATGAAAAGAAGAAACTTATTCATAAACCAGTACCAAATGATTAGGAATTCACTTTTACTATAAAATGCCTTTTTCTTCTGTTTCTTGCTAGTGCCGAAAACATTTGAAGAGTCGGAGATTAGTCAGTGCAAAACAGCTTGGTGTGGATAGAATTGTAGATTTTCAATTTGGAAGTGATGAAGCTGCTTATCACTTAATCATTGAGCTCTACGATAGGGTAAGTTAAATTTGGGGGATGGGATGAAGGAGAATTCATCATATGTTGTTAATTATTCATGTAATAGTGCTGTAAAACATGGGTGGGGAACGTTTTTTCTGTGTCAAAGGCTATTGATACATTAGGATAGTAATCAAGTACCACACAAGTAAAATATAATTTTTCAGTAATAACCTTCATTTTATCTGGAGGTCAGAATTTAGGTAGACCGTACCCGTTTAAAATAGCATTATGAATGTAGGAGATGACGATCTGAGAATTGAAGAAATTATCTGGTGCTTTATATTTCAGGACTAGTGTGGTGCATCCAGAAAATAGTCAGATGTGTCATAAATAAGACATCAGTTGAGACTGAGGGACATTGCGGTGTTTTTATAGTGACATCGGTCATTGGAAGACTACTGATGGCCTCACCATTCTTGCTTGTTGCCTCTCACTCTTCCCATTGGTCACCAAATTCTGTCTGGGAAATGTTTCATGAGCTACTTACAGCAAAATAAATTCTATATGCATAAAAAATTCAAATTAAAAAAGTGAAACCATAGAAGTACTAGGTGAAAATATGGATTAAGATTGATGAATTTGGGATGAAAAAGACTTCTAAGCGTAACAGTGAAAACAAGTACTGATAGATAATAGATATGACTACTTAATTTTGAAACTGCGTAAGGCAAAAAACACTGTGAACTATATCAAAAGATAAAGAACTGGGGAAAAATATTTTAACTTGTATGGTAAAAGATGTTCATAACCTTAACGGGCAGTTTCCACAAAGGACTCAAGTGGAAAAATGGGCGAAGTGCTTGATTAGACAATTTAAAAAAGAATAAACGCAAAGAGCTCATAAAAGCATGAATACGTGTCAAAATTCATGAATTACTGAAAAATAAAAACAAAGATATTTTTATTCCTCCTTGCCTTCCTTTTTTTCTTTCTGTGCCAAAAGATAAGCAATTGGAAAGTTTGACGAGAACCAGCATTAGGAAGAATGTAGAGGAACAAGGGCAGATTAGAACATTATTTTTGGAAGATTATTTGATATATAGAACATGATTTTTCAGATTTTTGTGTGTGAGCTTTGACCCAGGAATTCCACTTCTAGGAATTTATCTTAAGAATTAAATGAGACAAGTGCTTAGGAAGGAGCATACCAAGGATATTCATCATAGTGTTGATAATAGTTAAAACTTGGAAATAACCTAAATGTCTCTGTTTTTTGTGTTTTTTCCCCTCTCCATTTCTTCATAATTGTCATCCCTTAAATGTTCCCATTTATTTTTTGCGTGAGTCAGTTGGGCTGGACTTATCACAGCTCTTAGGTGTAAATTGGTCCTCAGTTGTTCCTCATCTGTGGGATTTTTCTCTTGTAGCCAGACTCCAAGCTACTCTGTTATTCAAAACTAAATGTCTTTGAGTAAGAGATTGGTTAAGTAATTAGGGGAAACCCAAATAATAGAATACCATGCAGTTTTTAAAAATAATAATGCTGAGGAGCCAGCCCCGGGGTGGAGTGGTTAAGTTCTTGCACTCCACTTTGGCGGCCCAGGGTTTTGCCGGTTCAGATCCTGGGTGCAGACATGGCACTGCTTGTCAAGCCATGCTGAGGTGGCATCCCACATGCCACAACTAGAAGGACCCACAACTAAAATAGACAACTATGTGCTGGGGGGCTTTGGGGAGAAAAAAGGAAAAATAAAATCTTTAAAAAAAAAAATAACATTGAGCTATTTGTTTTTTATTTCTTATGAATGTTTTTACAACGTGCTTGTAATAATTTTAAGCTTTTTATTAGCAGTGTGACACATACTTCATAAGTCTACAATTTAGTTGACTGTCACAAAGTGAACATACCTCTGTTAGTTACTGACCTGGATGTGGGACAGGACAGCACGACCAGGTGCCGATCCTTGCACTTGTCTTTAATTGTCTATGCACTTCTCTTTGCCAGTGATTCTTGGAACCATCTTTTTGCCCCCTTCCCTGAGGCAAGAGCAGCTGCAGCTGCTGCCCACCTGGAATTGATTTTTGTATGTGGTCTCAGATAGTGGTCAATTTTAAACATTTGTATGACACCTTCTTTTAAAAGATTTTTTAAAAACTTTCTTGTTTTGAAATGATTGTAGATTGCCAGGAAGTTGCAGAGATAGAACAGAGAGTGATGTACCCTTCACTCAGTTTCCCTCAGTTGTTACATCTTACATAAGTATAGTACAGTCTCAAAATCAGGAAACTGATATTGGTGCAATGTATGCATGTGGTTGTGTACTTTTTAAAAACTTTTTATAAAGATTATGATAGTTTACAACCTTGTGAAATTTCAGTTGTACATTATTGTTAGTCATGTTGTAGGTGCACCACTTCACCCTTTGTGCCCTCCCTCCCCCCCTTTTCCCCTGATAACCACCAATCAGTTCTCTTTGTCTGTATGTTCAACTTCCACCTATGAGTGGAGTCATACAGAGTTCATCTTTCTCTATCTGGCTTATTTCGCTTAACATAATACCCTCAAGGTCCATCCATGTTGTTGTGAATGGGACCATTTTATCCTTTTTTATGACTGAGTAGTATTCCATTGTGTGTGTATATATATATATATATATATATATATACCGTATCTTCTTTATCCAGTCATCAGTTGATGGGCGCTTAGGTTGCTTCCACATCTTGGCTATTGTAAATAATGCTGCAGTGAACGTAGGGGTGCATGGGACTTTTGGAATTGCTGACTTCAAGCTCTTTGGATAGATACCCAGTAGTGGGATGGCTGGGTCATAAGGTATTTCTATTTTTAATTTTTTGAGAAATCTCCATACTGTTTTCCATAGCACCGGTTTGCATTCCCACCAACAGTGTATGAGGGTTCCTTTTTCTCCACAACCTCTCCAACATTTGTCACTTTTTGATTTGGTTATTTTTGCCATTCTAACAGGTGTAAGGTGATATCTTAGTGTAGTTTTGATTTGCATTTCCCTGATGATTAGTGATGATGAGTATCTTTTCATGTGCCTATTGGCCATGCGTATATCTTCTTTGGAGAAATGTCTGTTCATGTCCACTGCCCATTTTTTGATCAAGTTGTTTGATTTTTTTCTTGTTGAGCTGTGTAAGTTCTTTATATATTATGGAGATTAACCATTTGTCAGATAAATAACTTGTAAATATTTTTTCCCAACTAGTAGGTTGTTTTTTTGTTTCAATCCTGTTTTCCCTTGCCTTGAAGAAGCTCTTTAGTCTGATGAAGTCCCATTTGTTTATTCTTTCTGTTGTTTCCCTCGTCTGAGGAGTTATGGTGTCTGAAAAGATCCTTTTGATACTGATGTCAAAGAGTGTACTACCTATATTCTCTTCTAGAAGACTTATTGTTTCAGGCCTAATCTTTAGGTCTTTGATCCATTTTGAGTTTATTTTTGTGAATGGTGAAAAAGAATGGTCAATTTTCATTCTTTTACATGTGGCTTTCCAGTTTTCCCAGCACCATTTGTTGAAGAGACTTTCTTTTCTCCATTGTAGGCCCTCAGCTCCTTTGTTGAAGATTAGCTGTCCGTAAATGTGTGGTTTTATTTCTGGGCTTTCAATTCTGTTCCATTGATCTGTGCATCTGTTTTTGTACCAGTATCATGCTGTTTTGATTACTGTAGCTTTGTAGTATGCTTTGAAGTCAGGGATTGTGATGCCTCCAGCTTTGTTCTTCCTTCTCAGGATTGCTTTAGCAATTCGGGGTCTTTTGTTGCCCCATATGAATTTTAGGATTCTTTGTTCAATTTCTGTAAAGAATGTCATTGGGATTCTGATTGGGATAGCATTGAATCTGTAGATTGCTTTAGGTAGAATGGACATTTTAACTACGTTTATTCTTCCAATCCATGTGCATGGAATGTCTTTCCATCTCTTTATGTTGTCATCCATTTCTTTCAGGAAGGTCTTGTAGTTTTCGTTGTATAGGTCTTTCACTTGCTTGGTTAAATTTACCCCAAGGTATTTTATTCTTTTTGTTGTGATTGTGAATGGGATTGAGTTTTTGAGTTCTTTTTCTGTTAGTTTGTTGTTAAAGTATAGAAATGCTACTGATTTATGTATGTTGATTTTATACCCTGCAACTTTGCTGTAGCTGTTGATTATTTCTAATAGTTTTCCTATGGATTCTTTGGGGGTTTCTATATATAAGATCATGTCGTCTGCAAACAGCGAGAGTTTCACTTCTTCATTGCCTATTTGGATTCCTTTTATTTCTTTTTCCTGCCGAATTGCTCTGGCCAAAACCTCCAGTACTATGTTGAATAAGAGTGGTGAGAGTGGACACCCTTGTCTTGTTCCTGTGCTCAGAGGGATGGCTTTCAGTTTTTGCCCATTGAGTATGATGTTGGCTGTGGGTTTGTCATATATGGCCTTTATTCTGTTGAGGTACTTTCCTTCTATACACATTTTATTGAGAGTGTTTATCATAAATGGATGTTGGATCATGTCAAATGCTTTCTCTCCATCTATTGAGATGATCATGTGGTTTTTGTTTCTCATTTTGTTAATGTAGTGTGTCACATTGATTGACTTGTGGATGTTGAACCATCCCTGTGTCCCTGGTATAAGTCCCACTTGATCATGATGTATAATCTTTTTAATGTATTGCTGTATTCAGTTTCCCGAAATTTTGTTGAGGATTTTTGCATCTATGTTCATCGGTGATATTGGCCTGTAGATTTCCTTCTTTGTGTTGTCCTTGTCAGGTTTTGGGATCAGGGTGATGTTGGCTTCATAGAATGTGTTAGGGAGTGCTCCATCTTCCTCAATTTTCTGGAATAGTTTGAGAAGGATAGGTATTAAATCTTCTTTAATTGTTTGGTAGAATTCTCCAGAGAAGCTGTCTGGTCCTGGACTTTTATTTTTGGGGAGGTTTTTGATTACTGTTTCAATTTCTTTACTTGTGATTGGTCTATTCAGATTCTCTATTTCTTCCTGCTTCAGTTTTGGGAGGTTGTAAGAGTCTAAGAATTTATCCATTTCTT